GGGGGGGGGACAGAAGAGTGTTTCAAAGATGTAAAAGAGACAGACACAGGGGCATGCGATAGACTTACCTTCACGTGGTGCACCCTGGGAAACGTATACTCATACGGCAAAAGACTTCTTCCACAGTACTCAGCTCACCTTTTATCTACATTTGTGTCTGTCTCGATTAGGACATTGGTCAAAGCTCTTCTTAGTCTCTATTCTTTATAGTATCGGATGTCAATGTTGGGTACATGTAGTACACAATGGTCAACATGTGGTCATGTGACTTTGTGTCGCGCAATTAATTCAATCCAGTCAAATTTATATTTAGTTTCTTTCGTTATGTGACTTTCAAGCGTGCCAATGTGACCTTCTGCTCTGCCCGAATGTCCTCTTCCTACTCAACCCTCTTTCCTTTGGTTCGAAGCAAATTCTATTCTTCTGATTCTAGAAAAGCAGCCATGCCACTCTAACTCCAGAGAATATCAGTAGACTTGAAATGATTTATATTTAAGCTCCATCTAATTATCAAAGTGGTTTTACCACTGGAAAAACCAAAAGCGTAATACAATTGAATAATTTTCAAATGGTTGGTTCAATTTTAACGAAGCATGGATACTATCACGCTTAGCTACCGTTTTCCGTATAAGTTGGCACGTAGTGAAGACGAAGAGCCATACTTTTTTTCCAATAACAATGGCTCACATGACTATGTTGGGTGCATGACTTTAGCATGACAAAACTGGAGACCTCCCGATAAATCAATGGCCAAAGCTAAGACGACTAATCAAGAGTCAAAGCCAGTACGTGATTAGCTGATCAATCAATGGCCCAAGTTATTACGTGGTTATCATGCCTGACAGTGTAACTAATGACTAAGTTCCACACCCATAATAAGACATTCTCAAATAAATGTATTCCGCGTCATAAGTCTGTTTCCTCTATAGATTTCATTAGCTTAGCTAATTTTGAGAGTCTTTATAAACATAGGAGAATCTGTCATAGGAATTACTGAGTATAATCCAGGCTTAGCAGTTTAGCAATCCTCTACAACCTCAACGACCTATTCAAGGGTTCTATATTTGTTTAATATAGGAACAAAAGTGGTAACTTCGTCCAGTTGGTTTCAAGTTTGCACTTCAAAGTTACTGAAAGCATTAATCTTACTGGAGCCTGATTCGATGCGTTAGCAGAAGCAAGGTTTGCGACAGCAAGACGCATTTCCAATCCCACTAGACGCGTCTCAATGAATTCAGTGGACAGTTTAGCAGCAATCGCAGCAATTTGTGACTCTTGGGTTTCTGTCTTTGAATCTAACTCTAGCCACCAATCCTTATTGCCACTCCTTATATCACGTGCCTGAACCTTCATTTGCGCGAAAGCTTTGGGATGGCGATGCAGGTAATCTAGACTTCGAAACTTTTGCCAATTTACGATCTGACGCTGTTGACTCTCATCCACCGTATAGCCTATTGAAGAATACGTCAAGCACGTAAAACCTGACTTACAGAAGGGTGTGTCAGCCTGAGGCTTGCGCTGATAGGCACGGTAAATAAGACGGCAAACTGAGTAGAAGGGCCACACAACGACGTATGGAAAAGGAAGCGGTGGTGCTCTGGAGAAAGATTTAACCAAACCAAATTGTTGCATTGCCCATAACTGTTTCGAAATGTGCTCCATCCGGGAATAACGCTTGCTAATTTATCAAGTGAAAGTAAGATTAATAAGTACGAGTAAATAATGGTGCAAGTCATCTCACTTTTAAAATTCATTCAGGATTAACCTCCTGGTTTTCTATGGGGAGATTGCGAATCCATATTCAAGAGAATGCTCCACTAACCGGGTATATCATCAACAGCGGAGTGCAAGGCGTTGCGACTCCTCTCCTATAAACGGATCCTCTAGTGATAGGGGTGTCTACACTAGTAGAGACGCGATTGATGAACAAATTTGTCAATGTTTAACTGTGGAAGATACATCTTGTTAGTTAGTTCTAGTCAAAAGGGGTAATAGAATGGGGGCTTGGCTAAGAGATGGTTCCAGTGGGGCAGGAATATCGCTAACACTTCCCTCCTGAGACTTCGAAGTTTTCTACCCCCGCCCCCCTGGCCTTTACTAATTTATCTCAAATCTAATACAAGAAACCGAAGGGACTTACGTGAACATGGCGATCAGAAGATTAAGAAGAAGAACGTGAGTCAAAAGCACGTAGACCATCATGATGATGGGGAAAATGAATCTGGCTCCATAAAAGGTGCAGTCGCCAGCTCGAAAGCAATTTTCCTCATAAAGACCTACAAGTAGTCCCAATCACAATCAATATCATTCCAGTTTATCAATTGTTCAATAAACCATGTTAAATATATTCAGCGAGCGTCATTTGAGGAGATATGATAGATCATATATTAATACTTGTTCAAGACAACCGAACAATCCTCACTGAGAGGATGGGATGTGAATGTATCGGACCTATTCCATATCTTATAGAGCGTTTCGAAGGTTAATGACTAATCCTTATGCTACTTTGGCCAGCAATAATATAGTACATAACTTTGACTTGACGATTGCCACAGGCTAACACTTGACAAATCCACTAATGAAAGCGTTTTCACAGCACTAGACCTAGAGATATCAAGTTCGCATAGAGTTGCTCTTGCAACGGAATTAACGAAGCATTTCATCGAATGCTCAAAATAAAGACAATGAGACGCAACTTAAAAAGAACACCTTCCATAGGAGTTGCTCTGGAAATTTCTCTTCCTACCAGTCCACACCAGTCCACCAGACAGAAAAGGTCCTTACATGGCCGCTATTCCCCACACCCCCCCCCCGTTTTGGCAATAAAGCACAACACGAGTGTAATACGACGACACAGTACTTACGAATAGACTCGACATTGCTAGGTATATTAAATTCCCCAAACATGGAGAAGAAGTAAGTGCGAACCACGGTGTAGATATTTAATCCTTCTTGAATACCGACCTGTCCAGTGGGTTTGAAGATCATTGATATTGTGAAAATGCTGAACATCAGCCAGAAGACGCAGATTATTGCCATATATGGCAGCATATCTTTTCGCATCTAGGGATGGAAACACAATGATGTCACAGTAGTCATAGTATTGAAACTGGCCTAGCAATTTAATTACGTTGACATTGTTCACTTATTGCATCAGATATCAATACTTTCATATAAATTAGCATGCAAAACTCTAATTAAAGGTGAAGCTGATGCCCAAAAATTAGGAAAGCGAGAAACGAATTTATCAAAACAATGAGGCACGACAGGCGCCCGAAGGTTCTGCATTCATCCATTGAATATTTTTTGCCACAATTTGGATACAAATATAAGTCAAAGATGAGTAATTTTCAATCGATAGAAAATCAATAAATTTGTTGTTTATAGTTGGCTGGGCAAATTGTTCCAATCAGGTGACTTGAGACAAGCAAGCATTTTTTGTTGCATACAGTTACTCATCGCATGGAGCTAATTAAAATTTTAATATCGTTAGCTGCTAAATGCATAGCAACAAAGGTATTTTCCTAAATTATGTTAAAAGCTGAATAACAAAAGCATTATTTGGCACTTTTGATTCGATGGTTGATCAAATCAAATGATCATTCTTAAGAAAATAAAAGTTAATCGATTTCGTGTCAGAAGTACACTGAAATATTTTAAAATTGAGCTTAATATTACTTGATTTCTGCCCATGGCCCAATAAAAGTGCGTGACGGGACGAAAGAAAGAATACATTTTCTCCTGGTTATTAACAGAAAATTGTGGCTACTGACAGTTTGCTTCAATTCATTCAACAATTGGCATTTCCACACCATTCTATCTCTACAACGATGATCTTTTTAAACAAGATGTGAGAAATTCGAACTCACAGGTGATTAACCATTATATCCTGCAATACTTCTTCTAATTACGATAAAGACGCCCAATGATGAAGTTAGAATAGTTTCTTTCAAAGGCCATGCTACAGCACTATCGCAAGCTATAATGGGAGTGGACTTCTTTTCCGACACATTCTACATTCTCTTATGAAAATAGTAAATATTGAAAACTAACAATGGTGATAATCATGATCAATTTTGGTCCAATATATCTTGAGACCACAAGGAAGTGAAGTGCGAAGGCGCAAGCGCACAGCAGACAGCACGAGAGGAAGAGACGTGACAGAACTGACACCACTTTGTAACTATTCACTCCTGGATCGATGTAGTGCAGACTGCCAATTACATAAAAGGATAGTGTTAGCAGAACTAGTCTATTCCAGATGTTGCTGAGGTACTGATTCATTGAGTTGTTGTTTTCTAATGACTGAGTTTGGAGAGAATCGGTGTTAGTCAATTCAAAAATAAAGGCGTGTCTTAAGAGCAATCTAAGAAGCACTTACCGAAACGACATGTTGAAAGACGAAGAAAAAAGAAAATGCATGTAGCATCACTTCAGACTTGGTTATTAGGTTACTCGATCTTATGGCCAGTAGGCAGTAGAAGAAGAGGACCAGGAAGAGAAACGAAACGAACTAAATGGAGAAATTAGCGAATAGTCTGATTGATTTTAAACGAAACTGAATTAATCAACCAACTTTAAAAGGCGTGGGCTGTGCGATAGACTTAACTCCACGTGGTGCACCCTGGGCAACGTATACTCATGCGGCAAAAAGTCCATTAACCGGCAATTGACTTCTGACTTTAAACTACCATCACCCCACTGTATGACATATTCGACCACTTGCATAGTACTCATCTCACCTTTTTTTCACCTTCTTCATTGAAACACTCTTCTGTTCTCCCCCCCCCCCTCTCGACTTTTTTTCGCTTTGATGTTCCTTCCCTCTGTGAAGACTGAAGTCAGCTAATGGGCTAATGATAACAATCAAAACGCCTGCCATTTGATATAATAATAATAATGCTTTAAAGGGGGTCTTATAGAACATCCATTCTTTTGCGTTAGTTGCTGAGATCTTACCTCCCATATGAAGGAAACTTTTGTTCACAAATCATTTCAACAAAAGGGGCATATTGGAGCTATGAGGGTTTTACTCATTTCTCCGACTGAGTCTTTTCAAAGTCAAATTAATATTCGGTAATCAGGGGTGTGCGATAGGCTTACCTTCACGTGGTGCATCCTTGACATGATATTTTCATACGGTAAAAAAGCCTATAAACTGGCAGTCGACTTCTCACTTCAAACTACCATGACCTGACTATGTGTCATGTTCGGCCCCTTCCGCAGTACTCATCTTACCTTTTCTCTGCCTTTGTGTCTGCCTGTCTCTTTTACATCTTTAAATCACTCTTTCGTTTCCCCTCTCCACTGTTATCGCTTTGATGTTCCTCCCCTCTGTGAAGCCCGAAATCAACTATAGGGCTAATGATAAGTATCATAAAGTCCTCCATTTGAAATAAATAAATAAATATTCGGTAATCATAACTGGAGCTACAATTGACTGGAAGAAGTCCCCAGTAAAACATTTAATTGAAGCAGTGCCAATTCGGTCAATTCGAGTGCATACATTTACGAAATTGTATACAAAACCTCTCTATGAAAAGCCGAAATCTAAAAGAC